TTTATCAAATAGAAATAATTCAGGTTATTCTAACTGACCTAAAACAAATAAAGTTTAGTCTGATTAATTTAATTTCAGACAGCGAGGAAAAAAATGTGTAATTATAAAATATCTGGTTTTAATTATAAATAGTTTTCCAGATTTTTAACCCAGCATTAAATTACACTTCATTACAAAACTATGCAGTTTGAATATGAAACAGAAATCAAGCAGTTTGTTAACCTTGAAAACACCTCAATGAGATTCAAGCATTTTCAAGGACTTACAGTTAAAGCTACAGTCGTTTCTTGGAAACACCAGGGATGACTCAAGACTTTTGCACAGCGCTGTTTGTTAATCAGTTCTTTTTATGTTAATTCATTTGATCTTTCGCTGAGTGCTGCAGCAGAAACCAGTTTCACACCCAGACGGTTAAATATTTCACACTTCTGGAGCAACAGGGGAATAAATAAATACACCTTTTGAACACACTTTACAGAGGAACTGCCTGACAAGTTTCATATTTTCCTCCACAAACCTGCTAAAAAGTAATAAAACTCCCCTTGAAGACGTTTAAATGGGTAATCACCACATCGCTGTAACATCACACGGACAATGAATTATTTAGATAAATGTCCAGTCAGTCTAATTTCATTAACTCTCATTCAAATCCCTCTCTATTTCCAATCTGCCCTCTTTAATTCAGCGACGTTAAACGAGATTAAATCATAATTATTGCAGCAGAGCTTGTTATTTAAACCAGATCAAGGGCGAGGACGACCGCTGGGACCGCAGAACGGGCAGCCATGTTGAACAGGGAGCGGTAGAAAACCGTAAATGGGTCAAACGCTACAACCTCTGCACTTTCTGAGCATTTAAATATCTGAATGTTTTCATTAGAAGAAGGATGGAAATAAGCAGAAATAAAACTGTAAGTTCATGTCAAACAAAAATAAAAACACAACTGAGAGCGTCTTGGTGTGGACCGTTCACACCAGAGACGGGCAGAAGGTTTGTTGTTGCCTTCACTGACATCCTTACAGTTTGTCTGACAGAAACTTTGCTGCTGAACAAAACAAACGCATCTGTTTGCTGTTTGTTTTTGTTTGGCATTGTCTGAACGTTGGAGGCTTTACGCCACTCTTGCGTCACAGAGGTTTGACTAAAGAAAAAGTTAGTCTCTCGTTTGGTTCACTGTATTCCAGTAAAGACCAGACTGAGTTGCTGCTGTTCAACTTTCACAAAGACTGGATTAATTACAACAGAGTTTTGACCGGGCTAAGAGTTGGATTATTTTTATTATTATGAGAATAAAGTCATAACATTAGCAGAATAAACACACAATATTACCAGAAAAAAGTCATAAAAAAGATGTTTTAATGAGATAAAAGCATTGAGAAGCTCAATTCACATAGTTTATTTTTTTCTCGAAATAGAAACTGTTGTTTCCACAATCGTTTCAAACTTCTGCTAAATAATTTAAAACCAAGTTAAAAGATTATTTTCTTATTTGTAAAAACAATTAAACATAACTTCACAAAACATTTACTAAATAACTACTTCATTCTACTAATATTATGAGTATTTTTCTATCACTACAAATTTTTTGGTGTATTACCACAACTTCTTTTCTTGTATAATTATGACTTTATTCTAGTAGTACTATGATTATTTAGGCTTTTTTGGCATATCATGATTTTTTTCGGTCATTACTGCAACATTTTCCTGGTAAAATAACTATTGTGAATTTTTCTTATGTTATGACTTTATTTTGTAATATGACTTTTGTGTAATACAACTTTATTTTGCATTATTACAACTTTTCTGTATTGTTGACATTATTTTGTAATATGACTTTTGTTACAAGATCATTCTGACTTTATGGTGATATTACTTTATTCTCGTTTTATTACAAATTTTGTTAATTTTTCCTCATAATGTAGTTTAATCTAGTATTATTTTAACTTCATTGTCGCTTCTAATCATATTCTAACTTTATTTGCGTAATTGAAGTTTTTTTCTTAGCCTAGCCCTAATACTCCGGTACTTATGACTGAATCACAAATTTACGACAACTGAAGGTTTAGTGACCAAAAATCTGACTGGTATTTAAAAAACATTCATGATTTCAGCTACAGAAACCATGATGCTGCCATCACCATATGTCACTGTTGGTACGGTGTATTCTCGGTGAGTTGTGTTGTTTTTTTCCAAACTTATCTTGTGTTTTCTTTGTAAGGAAAACCTTCTGCTGTCTTTTAACAAATTAGAATTAGCATTTATTGTTGTCTGTCACATCCAAAAGTCTCCAAAGACAATGTAATATATACAATGTAAACATAAATATGGTACTATTTACAATGACATACAAATACATATACATGGACACACATATAAATGAATCAAATAGATTATTGTCACACATTGAAGGAACAACAGAAATGCTAACCGTCTTGTAGCATCTCAGTCTCGTCTTTTTATCAATTTTGGAGAAATGTTCAGTTTTTACAATATCCCCACTTCTCTCATTTATTTATTCATTTATTTACATATTAATGTTTTGTGTTAATCAGATGTGACCTCAAGATTAAAAGCTGAAATTGAATTAAAAGTTACTTCAGCTGGTTTTGCACATTTAAACAACCCAGTTATTTCAGCTTTTTTTCAGCATTTACACTATAACATTGTCTTTCACTTGAATTTTACTTATTTGATCTAAATTTGTATACATTTAGTTAGAAAAGCATGACTCTCCCTTTTGAGAGTCGCTGTATCTGAGGGGAGACTCGGTGCTCAGCCACCTCGGTCCAGTTCGCAATAAAAAAAAAACACACAGCTGGAATAACAAGTCCAAGATGTTGGATAAAATCAAGTCTCTATCCACAAAAGTCAAGAATCAACATGAAAAATGTCAATGTTTGCTCAGAGAGAGGGAGGAAAAAAAGACATCTTAAAATATACATTTATTCAGAGCCTGAGAAAGATCAAACAGCAAAATTGATCTGCTCCTCCTTCAACCCTCGCTCCGCTCCCCTCTCCCCGCGACTCCTCGCCTCGACGCATATCGACTTTCTGCTCGGGCTATCGCCATGACGACGCAGGTTTGCCCCACTGTCACCTCTCTTCAGGCCGAAACTCTCGACTATTATGGGGTGTGCTGCTGTGACTGGAAGAATGCACATAGCAACGTTTACACACGTTGTAGTTCGATAAACAAATAAACCAGAAATTGTTTTTGCAGAACTTCAGACACAGCGGCGGAGCTAGACTTTTAAAGTCAGGGGCGCCACAGGGGCCCAAACTGTCTAACTGGGGGGTTCATGGATGAGAATAAGAATTACTGCAGACACATGCACATACTGTATATAAGTACGACACCATATGAGGAATTTGTAGATAGAAAAATCAGCAGTAAATTTCCACCAAAAAATTCCAAAATTTTTAGATTAATCTCAGATTTTTTTTTTTTTTTTTTTTAATCTTGGAAATTTATCAATTTTAAAAGTTGATCATTTTTGACTTTGGGAAACTTCTACAGTTTTTCTAGAAAATTACTGAGAATAATCTCAAAGTTTTTGATTTTTTTCTAAATACTTTGATTTTTTTCTCAAAAATTTCTGAGATTAATCTCAAAATTTCTTCTAACAAATGTTTGTCTTTTCAAACTCGGAAATGTAAACATTTTTTCTACATTAATCTTTCATTTTTTTTCTAGCAAATTTGAAATTTTTCAGAAACTTTTCTACAAATTTCTGAATTTTTTAGGATTAAATTGCTTTTTTTCTACAATTGCCATAATGATCAGAACACATGGTTAATTCTATATTTAATAAATTATTTTTATACTTTGTTATAAAAATCGACAGATTTAAATAATAATTTCACACGTTATTTACTTATTGTAATTTGGCATTCTTCTCCTGCCATAGTGCCAAAGGGGTAGCAGTTACTTAAAGAGACAGAGGCCAATTTCAAGGCAGCTCTGATGCAAAATCAAATTTCTTTAAGCCATATCTGTTATTTTGTTATTCACAGCCTTTTCTTAACTCCTGAAGGAAACATAGTTACTTGATTGTGATATGAAATATCAGTTTGTCCCTGGAAAACAAATAGCACCGCCCCTTCAAATATTCTGAAACATTAAAGTGTGAAAAAAGTTTTCTAGCATGATGAAGCTGTTGCACTAAATGAGGGATGTTCAAAGTGTGGCCCAGGGGCCATTTATGGCCCTCAGGATGATTTTGTTTGGCCTCTCTGTTCACAGTTAAAGAAATGATCGATAAATTTGAGATTTTCACAGACAAATAAAATCGTCTTAAATGTTTATTTCGGCCCAAGACAAAGTATTTTTGTTCATTAAAATGTTTCTGTTTTTATTGATTACACTTTGCTAAAACCAGCAGGCTCTGCACAAACTTTTTTGATAAATGTAAAAAAGAAAAAATGAGGACAATATACCCAAAAAATGTTGACCTGTTATTTAACACAGCAACTGTGCAAAACCCTGTTTGTATTTTGGATCAACAACAATTTACAGATCCCTTTTCTGCAAACCTTAGATGACTCTGGTGTATTAAAATGTTGTCTGTTTAGTAAATTGATCAATATATTAATAACAAATGTTAAGAAACAAACAGCCCTATTTTAAAAAAGTGTGACCTTCAAGTCAACTGAGCAATTCCAGCCCTAATGGCAAAAAGTTTGGACAATAGATAATAAAAATCAGTATTTTGTTAGTTTCAGGTTGTTTTTCTTTCTTTCAGATAATACTTTTTTTTTTCTTCATATTTGCTTTGGTTTTGTCCAGATTTAAAGCTGTAAATCAACTGGTCACAATAACACAAAGATATTTAGATGAGTCACAAACTCATCTAAAACGCTTGAGAAAAATAAGGAAAATAACAATGTATAGATTAAATGTATAGATTTTGTTTTCCTGAAAAACAAATATAAATAACATTCACAAAAATACCCTATTCTTTAGGGTTATTCTTTATAACCCTAAAGAATATACTTAGGGTTTATCAGCAGTTTGTGAAATTTGAATTATTCGGTTATTTATTGCCGTTTCCAGAGGAAATCCAGTCTACTTCCTCTCCACGGAGGAGGGAAAAGTCCTGTTGTCCCTGAACAAACACTGGTTTGGTCCAGTGGTGCAGATATGGGTGCAGCAGAACCCTGCGGAGGCAGATGTCTAATTGGTCCAAGAGGAAGATCGATACAAGCAGGAAGAGATGGAGGGAATGATGGGCATCCCAGGCAGCTCACTCAACTAAATTACATTACAGACACTGGTTCATGATGAAAACAGGGGAGAGAGTTATAAAAACTGCCAGAGGGCTGTTTTCAGGAGAACTTTGTGCTTTAATTTATGGGAACTCAGCTGTGCTGTCTGTGTAAGTTGAGGAGGAGATGCTTGTTTTGACCTCAGAGGTCAACACTGAAATAAAAAATTTAACATTTGTCTCATTGGATGATTTGAAAATAGTGTTTTTATTACAAAAAAATTACATATAAGAATGTAAATCATTTGGTATGTTCAGTGTTGAATGAACCTGTACTGGAGGTGAGTGGTGTGCATTTTACCAGCCCCTTTTTTTTTTACTTTTTATTTTTCCTTTATAAACAGGAAGTAGAGGTGGCTAACTAACTTGGATAACACATCTCAGAAAAACTGAGAGGTTTTCAGGAAACTATAATTATTTTTTATCTTTATTGATAATAAAGGGGCTGTCAAATCATTAAAGAACAAAACAAAAATGCCAGTAAACTCAAATAGGAATGTATGTATTCATACATATAAATCACGTCACAAAAGTGTTAAAGTGAATACACATATCAGTTGTCTTCATGACTTTACAACTTTTAGAATACCAGGGTGATCTAATTTACTGGGTTTTTTCCTCTTTAAAGGTTGAGAAGCAAGGTTTCTGATTTGAACATTTAGATTTATATATATATAGAATTGGTTTGTTTTACAGGACCGATTTCTCCGTTTCCATCTACCTGTTCTACTGCTATGCTTCAAAATGCGCATAAAAAACTCAACACTGGAAACATGGTGGCTACCCTACCTTACGGCGACCAGCTGCGGGATGCGGCCCTCCAAAGTCGGTTCCAGCTGTCCTTTCCTCCACCACAAGAAGCCAGACGAGGTAAACCCGACCGCAAACAACGGCTGAACGTTATGAAATTATAAAATAAGTATGTGTCAGTGAAGCGCGTTGCATCCGAATCCCGCCATTCCTGGTTCCGACTACGAGGCCACACAGACTCCAGAAGTTGCAGTCAATGCTCCACAAAAAGGCGTCGCTATTAGTTGAGTTTTCTTTTTCTTAGCTTCCTCCGTCTTATTGCGTTTTAGTGACGATACTATCGGCTCCCATTGCTGAATAAACTTTAAAATCGATCTATAGACGACGACGGCGGCCATTATTACTTCCCTAATCAGAGCTCGCTGTGTGACGTCAACGTTCTTTTTTGCGCATGCGTGTTGCTTATGAGCTGTTTACATAGAAGGCTGGTTTCGACCACGCAAAAAAAGGAGAAAAAAATCGGATTTCAGGGGGAAAAGAAGAAATTAAAGAAAAGAAAATTAAAATCAGAGTGAATGATCTTTTTAAAACCCAGGTCTCCATGTAAGTAAAAGAAATTAATCCAAGTCGTTTGTGTAATCTTTTCTTCAAGGGGACCTGTTCTTGTACTTACATTTGGATTTCTACTACTTCTAAAAACAACCTAAGTGCCTAAAACAAAATTATCCAGACAACAAGTGAATGTTTTTTGGTGTCTGGAACATGAACTGTTTCAAAAACCTTGCAAATGTGATGTCACAAATCAGCAGGCACTGCCCCTGACCAGCCAGGCTAATTTAGCTTAGCTGGCTGGAGAGGGGCCCCAACAACAACCTGCCCCTAAATTGCTAACGGGGTTGAATTTGACTTTAACCCCAATAGATATTTTAGATATTTTGTTTCTGATTTACCATCCAGAAACCACTTGCTGTATTCTTGATGGTTGTGCGGGAGACTCTACTAATGCTTTTCAAAGATGTACGGTTGTATAATTGCAGATCTGTTTGCAGCCATCTTCACGTCCAAGTGTAAATGGGGGGTGGCCAGCAGCAGCTTGTTTGGATTTAAAGTGACAGAGGCCCTAAAACAGCTCATTCTGACAGGAACTCAAAATAGACTGAATCATTATGTAAGAATGATTTTATGGAATAAATGTTTTTTTATATCCCATAGATCCATACTAACCTGTTAAAGAAAGCAGAACAGGTCACCTTTAATAATAAGGAGGAAAAGTCTTTGCTCTTGTCAGACGAAATCCACAGTTTATCATTTTTAAACGCCTGCCTGATTATCCATCATGTAATTTCTCCATCCCAGCCTGAACTGCGACATGACAGAGGGAAAGTAGGTGACCAATGGGTGGCCCCCGCAAGAGCCAGCCCAGAGGTCAGTGGGTCACTGTCCCAACGAGGCAGCCCTGCCGCGGGTCGCCTGCTGCCCGCTTCCCTCTCGTTATTTATCTCTGCCTGACAGTCCATTCCTCTTCCTGTCAACCGACTCCCCCCTCTCCTCTGCCGGGCCTGGCACCGGTCCTTCCGCCAGCGCCCGCGACCAAGGCCAAGGCGCGCCGAGTCCACCGGGTCACATGGCGCCCGGCTTGAGCAGCCCTTTCTAACAACCACAGCATTTGTGAGTGTGTGTTGCTCGGGGGATAATTACCGCTCCACGTTGGACTTGGACCTGGACTTCTTGGCCCCTTTCGGTCTCGGTGGACTGGCCGGGACGCGACACCGCCTTTCATTAGGAGACCGACCTGCGGAGCGAGAGCCGGGAAACAGACAAAGTGAAGGGCCTTCTTTGGCCAGTGATGAATTGGTTCGCCTCGCGGAGGCGGTGGGGGCGTAAAGCATGACACTCAGAGGACAGAAAGAGGACGAGCAAGTCACAAATACAGGAGAGGAGATAAAAATATCTCCACTCGAAGGAGAGAAAGAGCAGCTTTGGTAGCCGAGACTCTGCTAAGTTCAGCAAATACACATTTTAATCACAAGAAAATAAAACATCCCAGTAAATAAGAAAAACACTGAAGAGTTTACTTATTTAACTTCAGAAATTCAAATATTAAATTACACAAGAAATATTATATTTCAGCATTTATTTGTGTTCACTTTTATTATGGCTTTTTAATAATTAACCTTTATTTTACCAGGATAAAAAAACCCACTGAGATTCAAAACCAGAGATTTCTGGCCAAGAGACACAACAATTAATAATCCTTTATTTGTATAGTAATTTTATTTTATCACAGAATTGTAATAAAAATACATTTGAACACGAATGAAGGGCTGTCATTTATAAAGTTACAGTAAATTAAAAATGAGTGCAATAAAATGGGTTATTTATCCCGACATAGCAGGAAAAATGGGGATTCATCTTTAAGGTTTTATTTTCACCATGTTATTTATTCATTAATGAATGTCCAAACTAATTATTTCATTTACACACCTTAGTTTGTAAACTAAATATATAGTTCTAACTAAATACATAGCAAACTAACTAAATGTTTATTTTGCTAACGATATATTTAGTTTATAGCTAAATATGTAACTTAGTACCTGAATTTTTAGTAAACTAACATAATATTTAGCTATAAACTAAATATTTAGCTTGCTAATTTGAACTTAAACTAAATACTTGGTTTGATAACTAAATAATTACCAACCGAGGAAATCACTTAGCTTCATAACTAAACATGTAGCAAGCTAATTAAATATTTAGTTTGCTAACTCAGTTTAGAGATTCATACTTAACTTTGTATCTAAGTATGTAGCAAGCTAGATATTTAGCTTCAAACAAAAATATTAAGTTCACTAACGACAGCTAGGAGCAAAATACGTAACTTCATACCTAAATATTTAGCAAACGAAGTAAATATTTTGCTTCCTAAGCACATATATAGTTAGGACCTAAATGCTTGGATAACTAAGCATTTAGATATGATTTATAAATACGAATGACACGATTAACACAAGATTTAAAAAAATAAAACCTCACTCTTTTCTCTTGTGACTCTGTACTCCATAAGAACAAACAGGTTGTCTTTGCTCAGAAACCTGCCTCACAGAAAGATGTGTTCAATTATATTGATTGGAAAGTTCAGTGGAAGGAAAAACATGTTGTAGAAAAGTTGCATATGTAGAGGATTGTGAAGCAAAAACCACTTAAGACTTTCTGGCTAAATTACATGAAGAGCATCTTGAGTCACCACTGACATGTTATTTATAATCTATTATTAAAGTTAAAAGAACTAAACACTTGAATATGATTGTAATATACAATATAATGGGTGAGTTTAATTTCTTTAACTGCTCTAATGAAATAAGTTAACTTTTCCATTATTTTATAGTTATTAAGAGTTACTCCTCATCTTATAAACTTCACCAGAAAGCAGGAGAAACTAGTGAGCGTGTAATTAGCAAATGGTTTTATTTAAATGCTCTTTGATTTATAATTCAGAGCTTCTCCAGCCAGCGGCGGGAGGTGCAGCAAACGAAAGGTGAAAGAATCTGATTTTTATCAGATTAAATGTCTGTACAGATGTTATTCTTTTGCTTTTCATTCTCTGAACTGATAAAACAATCAAACTTTTAGGCAGAAAAGTTGGATATGATGAAAGTCACTGGTGTGTAGTGTAACTCTGTTAGTTGGAAGGTGGCGATAAGATATAACGTTTTCAACTCCAAATTGTGTATGAAGATATTTTCCATGGGAATATAGAAAAAAAATCTTCTCTAACTGCATCTTTGATAAAGGAGGCTTTCCTGTCAGCAGTGGCCTCATTTTTTCCTGCGCTTCGGCTCGGTACATATCAGATTCTCTTTGGTTCCCCATGGGTCCAGTGATCCCCAGATCATCTATATTCTGATGCCCTTATGAAGCTAATGTGCTGATTTTACGTTTTCAACCTGCCGTGATCCCCTCCCAATCCCCTCTGTTCCCTCCGGTTCCTCTTTCACACTCGAGCGAGGATCTGCCGCCGCTTTGATCACAGTCCCCTGTTAAAGGTTTAAAACGTCTCAATTCCCGGCGATTGTTGGGGCCTCTGTGGTTTGCTTTAAGCATCTCCCTATGCCGCCCGGTCCAAAACGCCCCGCTCCTAAATGAGGCACCGTCTATCCCAGCTTCCCATACAGAAGCTACTTTCAAGTTCCCCCGATTGGGTGCCGCAGCTGTAAGCCCTAGATTTTGTCTCCTCCATCTTTGTCAAGCCCATTTGCCAAATACAAAAAAGACCAAATAAGCTAGGTCTTCATCGCTGCTCTCCGAAGTAATCCCCAGATCTCCCACTCGCTCAAAAATCAATGCAAAGGTTGAGACGAGGTGAAACTCCCTTCTTAACTCATCAGGCTGGGAAGTCATGGTCTTATGATCACTTTTTCCTTTATCGGTGTGGCTCCATGATGAAACTAATTGTCCTATTTCACGCAGGTCTTTCAACTGTCGTTCAGAAATAAAAAAAACAAATGCTTTGAAGAAGTTGGTGATGATTGTAAAGTTGAAATTAGAAAGTGCAAATTAAAACACATTAGATCTTTGTGACTAACCAGGAAAATTAGTAACTGTTCCACTGTATTACATTGTGTTTAGTGGAAGCTAACGCTAAAGCACAACACATACACTGTATTTAGTGGAAGCTACTGCTAAAGCGCTACACATACACTGTATTTAGTGGAAGCTAACGCTAAAGCGCTACACATACACTGTATTTATTGGAAGCTAACGCTAAAGTGGTACACCAACGATGTATTTAGTGGAAGCTAACACTAAAGTGGTACACCAACGATGTATTTAGTGGAAGCTAACACTAAAGTGGTACACCAACGATGTATTCAGTGGAAAAGTCAGAATTCGGACTTATTCTCAGAATTCAAACTTTTTCTCAGAATTATGACATTTACTAGTTTACATGCTCTGTATGATAAATGGTGAAAACAACATAGAAAAAAGTGTTGTTTTTAAATATGTAAATAAATCCTTTATGTATAGCTAGTAGGTATTTGCTTTTTATTGTAGTTTTTCTTAAATCTACTTTTATTGAGTTTGCAGGCGCTTCTGCAGTATTATTGTCATATCTTTTGGCTACTGTTTCCTATTAAGTTTAAAGATTGAAAGGTTGAGGAATTGCTTAAGAAAATACAAACTACTGTTTGCATTATGGTCCAAACTGCAGTGTTTTCTGTAGCTTTGGCCTCAGAGCCGGCGTGCTGATGGGTTCGGGTGGATCCGGTCCAAACCGCTGCCTCTGCAGGAGCCGGGTCCGCTTGGCGGACGGGCTGCTGGGACAGCAGCGATCCTGCCAGCCAGTGTTGGCGAACGTCAGGCCGGCGGCGGCTCCAGAGCGGCGGGGCGCGATGTTCCGCTACAACCCTCTGCCCCACGGTCTGCCATCATAATTAATATGTTGTTGAATCAAAG